TAATAAAAAATGAACTGCTTACACGCTCTGCCGTTTATCGCGCAAATTAGGCAAGGTCACTATGTAGGTCAGTGTCAGAGGATAGTGTTAAGAGGGCTTTAGGCCACGAGGCATGAGTGTGGTATCAATGCAGTCGACCTGTGAGATCATTAGAGTTACTTATGCATTAAGCTGGATATTTGAACGATGCATTGCATTATGCGCTGCATTGCATTATGCTTTTGGCTGATTGTGCCAGCATTTGTTGGTTTATGGCAGGCCTAAAGCTGATATGTGACAGTTTAAAAGGATTTAGTGAAGTACTTTAACTTGTATTGTTTTTCTGTCTGCATTTAAATAAGCCAAAGCTTGTGAAATCATATTAACCCATGGTCGTTCGTGCTCTGGGTTTCAGTTCGCAGGGCGGAAGTTGAATTCATTTTGGCAACATCAGCCTGTAAAACTGTTTTTGTTGTTGTTATTCAGAGGTGAGTCAAAGATCTAGTGAATTACTGTAATTTGCCATCGACTTACGGCCTATTACGGCAGTTGAGTTCTGTCAGAGAAGACAGCTGCCTAATGCAATAACAACCCCCTTCAGTTAGGATCCAGTCTGTCTGTCTTTCCACAATCATCCAAACAGTTTTGTACATCATATTGTTGTTAGGGTTTTCTGGGTGGTTGCTATGTGGCCTTCATGTGATTGAAACCAATCTGAGCCTTAAATTGCCAACTCTCTTGCTTGGACTTGTTTTGAGAAATTACACCCAGACTTATGGATTCTCAGTCTAAAAACGGTTTAAAATTTAAAGAAAATATTTAGAATCTATTCTTTCTAAATTATAATAATGATAATGTATAATTTATAGTCATAATATTTATTATTTATTTTCTCATTAATTAACAGGGCTGGACAATGTATTAAATATATTTATTGTGATATTTTTACTGGAATAATAAAAAGCGGCAACGATTTTAACTTTTCATTTTTCTTGTTTATTAAGTTTCCCAAAACATGCCATTAGACCTTTATAGTATGGAAGTGTGAAGATGTTAATGTTTTAATTGTGTTAGAGGTTTAGTGCTTCATTGAATCAGTTCAAATAGTCCATGTTAATGAACTGATTCAAAACTCTTGATTCATTTCCGTCTTTACTTAAATATCATTTACTGGATTAGATGACATTTTGTTTTGCATTATAGATTTTTTTTTATTACAGCACATTGTTATATTGGTGTATATAAATCGAAATAATTCAATAATAATTATTACATAAATAAGTATTAATCATCCTTCCCTCATTCATTTAATGGAAAAAACTATTTTGAATATATACCTTGAATATTGTAACTAAATTTAACTAAATCAAAATGTTTTTTGTTTTTTTTCACATTTATTTTCCCCGTATATTGATATAGTGGTGCATATAAATCAAAATAATTAAATTATTTTTCAATAAATAATTATTAATTATCCTTCCCTTTGTTGTTTTAATGTTAAAACTATTTGAACAATGTACCTTGAATATTTTAACTAAATTTAACTAAATCAAAATGTTTTAGTAAA